CAATAGCATTATTAATACTAAGAGATGATTAGGTCTTGATACTAATGTGGGCCGTAGCATTTCATATGCCGTACTAAAATTTTTGCGTATTAAAATCGGCGAATTCATCAGAATAGTTACTTCAATAAAGTTCGCGAATTTAATACCAGCGACGCTCGCATATTGTCTGTTCCAACTAATATCTCGAAGTCTTTAATTGAACCGCGAAAGGAGAAACTTCAATGATGTAGAGAAGGAAGAAAATTATCGTTTTTTGTCGTTCAGTTGTTACTTTTTTTATATTATTAATTTTGGTATGCCGTCATGAGAGCAAAGACTATATAACACCTTAGAAACAAATGATATTCCTGGCAATGATGAAATTATTGCACTCCGAGAATGAACGTAGCTTTAGAAAGCATTCATCTTCACAAATCTACACAAATATTTGCAGCATAATAATGGTATAAAGTCACCAGTTTATTATCGCTTTTCTATAAAAATATATATCCGTCTTATCGACTTATTATTGGATGTAACTTGATAACCGTTATCACGTGATTTACGGTGGACAACAGGAGAGCAGAGGAAATTTTCGTATTACCTTGCCGAGAATGTCTTCTGAAATTCCATCTCAAATACGCGACTACGTGGATAAGGCTGTCTTAAATGCTCCTAGCGGAAGCTGGTCGTTTACTCAGGGATTCTTACTTGGCCAGCTTACCGTCCTTTTAATAGTGTTCGCTTTTGTGAAATTTATGTTATTCGAAAATGTGCAGAATCCAACAAAAAAGGTAAACATGGTTTTTTCCAAGATTAATTAACCTGACGACAGATTCTGAGATTTATTGACACTTCTCACCTAGCGCATTCCTTTAATACCGCCGCCGACAAGTCCAAAAACGATAACAGTACCACCTGCTTCAGCAATTCTCGCCAAAACGCTGTATGATCCGCTACATCACGCACCCGAATCAGTAGATTGGTTAAACGTATTGTTAGCGCAGGCAATACAACAGTATAGGACTGAGGCGCAAACGAATAACAGACTGCTTCGCATAGTCTATGAGGCGCTTAATAGTGGTGATCAACC